CCCGCCTCGGCCTCCCAGAGTGCTAGGATTACAGGTGTGAGCCACCGCGCCCGGCCTAAGATTCTTGATGGCAAATATTTTCGCTTCACTCAACAATTGTGATTTCCCTCTCGTTTTCCTAGCACGTTAGCAGCTACAAAGCTCAGTAGGCTTGTTCCTCTAGTGGTTCAGTGCTGTGCTGACACCTGCTGGTCACATGTGGTTCAGCCCCGGTACCTTCCTCCCTCCAGTAGTAAGAGCTGGGACAGTCTGTGCCCCTACCTGCCAGGCACTGGAAGAATATGCTGTGGTAACATTGCCCCCCAGCACCACCCTTCAATCTTCAGAACTTTCCCTCCTGACCCCCACCCCAGCAGTTTGGACTTTACATTCTATCCAGTGCTGTAGAAATATAAGGACAGGATCTCAAGGAACTGGGCAGCAAGTAAAGAAAGGAGACAATTTAAGAGCGGGGATGTGCAAACCCCTCCTCCCCACCTCAAGAATCAAGACTTTCCCACAAAATTCTATTTTTTTAAACTTTTGTCAAGACTTTTTCTAGGCTGCTCTTGGGCCATAGGCCTTCTCGGTGACAGTGGTGATGAACCGGAGGTTGAGCAGAGAATGGGAAGGCGGGGCTCAAGGGGTGGGGTGGGGCCAAGCCAAAGGGCCTTTCACTTGGGAGCTTCTCCATTCTGTCAGCTCTCCGGGAACATCCAAGGCAAGACTGGCACCTAACACAGCAGGTGAGGGACCAGCAGTGACAGAAGGGGAAGGGTAGACTTCAGGGGTGATGGTGGCAAAAGGGTCCCTAGCTCTTTCAGCCTTAGTTTGCCATATTGGGAAACTGTCACTTGTAGAATTCTTGAGTTCCCTGTAGAGCTTGGTTTTCCCTGGGGGCAAGGCAGCTTCTGAAAGAAAAACCTGGGTTGGGAAGGGAGTGGGGGGCTGGGCTGAGATATGGGGATGGATACGGGTGTGTGACAGAGAAATGCCAGGGAATCTCAGGAGACATGGAGATAGACCGGTAAGGGCCAGATGGAAAGCATGGCCAGGCTGGAGGATCACAGTGAGGACCCAGACAAGAGAAAAAGGGAGACCAAAACAGGGAGAGGGAGAGGACAGTGGATCAAATGCGAGATGGTAACGGAGGCAATGGAGAGCTGGGTGAAAGGAAGGCCAAGGAGGAAGGAAGGCTCACATGGAGCAATCTCCTCTTCCGGCTGGGCAGCATGGCCCAGAAAGCCCCAAGTCAAGCCGGGAGCAAAGCAAGGTTCTAGGTTCCCACTGGAATGATTTGGCTGGGCAAGACACCCCCACGGTTCCCCGTCTCCCCTGCCTCTTCAAACTCCCATTTTGGTTTGGGGGAGAGGATGAGGCTGCTCCTCACTGCGGTCACAGCCACATCCTGCAGAGCAGGGGAGGGGGAAGTAAGAAGCAAAACAACCAGAAGAACCACAGGCGAACACCATGGGGAGAGAACCCTGGACATGTGCAGCTGATGTGCCACCAGGAGGGTCCTCAGTTCAAACAGCAGAAGACTGCAGACCTTTAGCGTTGCCTCCTGCTTGAGGTGCTTGTTTCTCAGGCTTCCTCAGTGCGCTTCAGCCTCACCGAGCGCATTCCAAGGAAGGAGGTTTCTTTGGATTATGTGTTTTTAAGCCCATTTTAATCATTTACTAGTGACTTGGGCCAAATTGCTTCATTTCTCTTAGCTTCAGTTTTCTCATTGCAAAATGGGGATACCTACCTTACAGAGAGTTGAGAAAACTGCGATGATTCACATAAAGCACTTGGCACATAGTAGGTCCTCAGTAAATGTTAATTATTATTCTTGTTAGGACTCCTGGGACTCCCATGTTTCTTAATTCTTTAAAGGCAATACAGCACACTAGCTGACGGGAACTTCTGGGGTCAGAAAAATAGTTGTGTTTGATCTCAGGTATATTATTTAACATAAGCCTCAGTTTGCTCACTGTAAAATGAGGAGAGCGATACCTACACCTCATAGATGTATGGTACATAGTCAGTGTTCACAAACGGTAGCTATAAGAATTATCTGCCAGGTAAGCCCGACCTTCTCCATTGCAGCAGCAATAGCCTGCTTCCCCTTGAGACTTAGCTCACGGTAGGCCAGCCTCCTGTGTGCCCACATTCCTCCAGCCAGAGCCATCACTGTCCTCCTAGGCTGTTTTGGAGATCAAGATTTCCTGCAGCACTAAGGGAAAAAGCAGGAACAAGGCACAGGGAACGAGAGGGCCCCATGGGAAAGAGATGACAAACAAAGATGATGAGACGGAAACCAAAGAAGCAACAGAAAGGGAAAAAGCCATTTCTTTCTTTCTAAGGAAGCTTGTGGCCTTTCTTCTAGTGAGTGACCACATATCCCAGTCCCCAGGAACCATGGAGTCCTTCAGCTCAAAGAGTCTGGCACTGCAAGCAGAGAAGAAGCTACTGAGTAAGATGGCGGGTCGGTCTGTGGCTCATCTCTTCATTGATGAGACAAGCAGTGAGGTGCTAGATGAGCTCTACCGTGTGTCCAAGGAGTACACGCACAGCAGGCCCCAGGCCCAGCGGGTTATCAAGGACCTGATCAAGGTGGCTGTCAAGGTGGCTGTGCTGCACCGCAGTGGCTGCTTCAGCCCCAGTGAGCTGGCCCTGGCTACCCACTTTCGAGAGAAGCTGCGGCAGGGAGCCATGACCGCACTTAGCTTTGGCGAGGTGGACTTCACCTTCGAGGCTGCTGTTCTGGCGGGTAAGCTGACCGAGTGCCGGGATGTGCTGCTGAAGTTAGTGGAGCACCACCTCACACCCAAGTCACATGTTCGCATCTGCCACGTGTTCGATCACTTTTCTGACCCGGACCTGCTCACAGCCCTCTATGGGCCTGACTTCACTCAGCACCTTGGCAAGATTTGTGATGGGCTCAGGAAGCTGCTGGATGAGGGGAAGCTCTGAGAGCCCCAAATCTAGCACATTTCACCTTGGCAAAATGGCTGACTGAGAAAACAACAGATAATGGGCTTCCTAACCCTGCTCATCTGCACTAACGCTTTTCAATCCTCAGGCTTCATTCTTTCCCAGGAGCACTTTGACTCTGAGACCACCTCACCCCCAACCGCTGGTGGAGAAGGAGCAATGCTGAGGGGTGAGGCCCCTCTCCCACTCTAGCCCCAGGACAGGAAACAGAGCTGCGTGAAAAAGGCGAAGTGAAACTTGGATCTCTATTTCTCCCATAAGGGACTTCTGAAACAGGGAGAGGCCCTCCTCTATGAACCCAGGGAAGGAGGCACAGCCTATATAACCCCTCTGGGGACACTAAAGACGGAAGGGGGTAAGGTGGCCCTTAGAGACAGAGCTTGGACAGACACCAGAGGCTCTGTTCCACAGTGCAGGAAGAAGGGGTGAGGGCAGGGGAGATTCTCTTAGGGGAAATAAAACTACTAAAAACATGCACAGGGCTCAATGTTTAATCTCTCCAGCCTTTTATACCTTATGATCATCACGGAGGAAAGGAGGTATATAAACACCACTTATCTCACCTCTCACCACCTCCATACAGGAGACTGAGGCATATTTCTAGTATCATTGAGGTTCCTTGCCTACTTCTGTTTAAGAAACAAAAAAAACCTGTACCGCGTATTAGTGCTACAAATTGCGAATAAATACACAGTGAGGAGCAAGGCATAGTCAGACAGGCTCTGGTGGGGAGAGAGTATAGCAAAGAGATTTCCTCAACTGTCCTCTTCAAACTGCAGGGAAATTCTTCCATCCCTTAGTCCCACCACAGGCTGAGCAGAGGAACAGGTTAGAAGGGTGAACTGCTGGAAAGCAGAGTTCAGGTCTCTATAAAGCTACTTCTCTCAGAGCGAGAGTTGTGGAAGAGTCACAGGGAATTGGTTAGTCAAGACTGAGCCCAAATCCTTCACTTCGAGATTGAGGAAAAGGTCTGGCACAGTCTGCCATTCTCTGCGACGGGGCCAGATCACTGATTGCTGCTCAGTAACGTGCTTGGCTGAGGAGGTGGGGAAGGTGAGGAACCAGTAGTCACTGGCTCACTGTTCCCGGGTTCTCCTCATCCCGGGGCTATAGACATCCCATTTTCCAGCTAAGAGTGGGAAGGAATAGGATATAGCAAATAAATTAGTTCAGTATAGCACCAAATAAATTAGATAACATAGTTGGAGACGAGGAGGAAGTCGAGGGGGAGTCTCTGCTTCCCTGCTCTAAGGCCAGGGAATAGTGAAAGGGGTAGGAAAGGCAGCAGGGATGTAAAAAGAGACTTTTGAATCTAAAGGACAACTCTAGATTCAGCCCAGAATTAGGAAAGGGTCTAGTGCCCATCCCCTACTCTTGCCAATAAAACCGCCCCAGGCCAAGGAATTCTTGGTAGAGAAGGAGGCTGGGGAAGATGGCTGGAGTGGAGGGAGGCGGGCTGGGAAGCCATGTTCTTGAGCCTCACCTCGGGCTCCTCTCCCCCTCAAGCTGCTCCTTCAACATCTTGCTTCTCTCAGTCAGTTCTGGGGACATCAGAGTTTGAAGATTTCATCCTCCTGGTCCCGTAGTGTCCGGGTCCGAGAAGTACGTGTCAATGGCACAGGACCTAGGACTGCTCGTTGCTGCATCCGAGGGGAGCTCAGGTGGTGACCTGCATCCTCCCCAGGTATCCTACAGGTGAGGAAAGGAGAGAAAGAGTGACAGATCAAGGGAAGATCCCGAGAATGGGCCAAGTGAAGAGGTACATGGGAAGCTGTCTTCCTGTCCTAACACACGAGCTGGTTGCTCTAAGATAATCTCAATACCCTCTGGATAAATCCTAACCCAAATGCTCCCTCGTGGATGATCAGGCAGTAAAAGCAGTCAACTTTTTTACTCCAAAAAGAACACAGAACCCAGTTTCCCACTGCTTCTGCCCATTCCAGTAGCCATTGACTCTGTTCATTGTCTTGGGGCCACCTGGGAGAAAGGTATCACCTTGCGTCTGCTGGCACTATGCTGACTTACTTGTGTCCGTGGTTAGGTAAGGCTGGAGGGACGGAGGAGCCTGTGAGGGACGTATAAGGAGCTGCTCAACACTCACCCGCTTTCCCCTTTTTTCAGCTTTTGAGCGGCAGCCTTCTTTGACAGGCTGATCTGTGAGTCAAGCTTCTTAAGGAAATCAGAGGCAGAAAGATCGTGGATGGGTGTGGGGGGTTCTTGGCCAGCTGCAGGGAGGACTTCACCATTGGCACGTCCTGAACCTGTCTCTTGTTTCTTTCTCTCAGCGGAGTGTGGCCGAGCTTCATCATTACTTGGGCGTACCTCTTCCTCTCCGTCTTTCTCTTCCTCAGAATCCAAACCATTGAACAAGTCTCTGGGCTCTGTCAGGATGGGGATGTAGAGGGTTTTCTTCAGGAAGATGGAGTCATTAGTATAAAGACGGTTTGCACGCTTAATCTGTTCCATCTTTAAGAAAAAGTCACCAAAATTGATGAGAGTAATAATGATCAATCTTACATTGCAGCTTGAGCTTTTTAAAGTGATTGTACAGAGGCTTATTTAACCCTATAACAACCAAACTAAAGAACAGACGGCTGATAGTTCTTATTTTATAGATCAGTGGTTTTCACACTTTTTGGTCTTAGGGCCGTTTTACATTTTTAAAAATCACTGTGGTAAAAAGCCTTTATTGAAAAGCTATCAGTATTTAAGGTATTATCGAAGCTGAGAAATTTTGTAAAAATGTATTGAAAAATAACACATTACATGTTAACATATATATTTTAATGAAAAATAACTATATTTTTCAAAACAAAACAAAAATATATAGAGAAGTATTGTTTTGCATTTTTGCAATTCATTTTATTTTATTTATTTATTTATTTTTGAGACAGAGTCTCACTCTGTTGCCTGGGCTAGAGTGCTGTGGCGTCAGCTTAGCTCACAGCAACCTCAAACTCCTGGGCTCAAGCGATCCTCCTGCCTCAGCCTCCCAAGTAGCTGGGACTACAGGCATGCACCACCATGCCTGGCTAATTTTTTCTATATATTTTTCGTTGTCCAGCTAATTTTCTTTCTATTTTTAGTAGAGACGGGGTCTCACTCTTGCTCAGGCTGGTCTCAAACTACTAAGCTCAAATGATCCTCCCGCCTCGGCCTCCCAGAGTGCTAGGATTACAGGCGTGAGCCACCGCGCCCGGCCTTGCAATTCATTTTAATGTCTAACCTAAGGCAACAGGATTGTTGTATCTACCTCTACATTCAATCTGTTGCAGTGTCACACCTCATGCAGCTTCTGAAAAACACTGTATATTCATGAGAAAATGAGAATAAAAAAGGCAAATAAAATCTTATTATTATTACTATGAAAATAGTTTGACCTTGTGGGCCCCTGAAGAGTCTCATGGACCCCTAGGGGTCCCTGGACCTCAATTTGAGAACTACTGTTAAAGATCAAGGAACTAGGCTAAGTGCAGTGGCTCATATCTGTAATCCTAGCACTTTGGGAGGCTAAGGTGGGAGGATTGCTTGAAGCCAGGAGTTCGAGACCAGCCTGAGTAAGAACGAGACCCCATCTCTACAAAAAATAGAAAAATCAGCCAGGCGTGGTGGTGCGTGCCTTATAGTCCCAGCTACTCTGGAGGCTGAGGCAGGAGGATCACTTGAGGTCAGGAGTTTGAGATTGCAGTGAGCTATGATGATGCCACTGCACTCTAGCCCTGGGTGATAAAGTGAGACCTTATCTCAAAAAAAAAAAAAAAATCAAGGAACTGAGGCTCAGAGAGGTTAAGCTACTTGCTGAAGGTTACCTAGCAAGTTAATGAGAGAGCTAGAACTAGGATTCTCAGCCTTTTTACTCCTTCTGGGAATGCTTTTCACACTATAATATTAACAATTTTGGCCAGGCTAGTGGCTCACGCCTGTAATCCCAGCACTTTGGGAGGCCGAGGTGAGAGGATTGCTTGAGACCAGGAGTTCAAGACCAGCCTGGGCAACATAGCGAGTCCCTGTCTCTACAAAAAATTTCTAAAAAATTTCACTAATCAAATATTTATTTTGTACCTATTTACCTATTTATTCATTACTGAATATAGTGACTGGCATCATCATCTATCTACCAGGGCTTTCAAGGTAGAAATATCAATGTTATCCTTAACTCATACTTTCCTTTCATTACCCATACCAACTGATCAATAAAAGTGCTTCAAAAATCTCTCACATCTGGTCTCACCTTCATGCTACTGCCATTGGCTTAGAAGAGACCCTTAATATTTCTCATCTGGGTTCCTGCAACAGTTTAACTGGTCTTACTCTCTCCATTTCTACTCATTCTCCTCTTGGCATCTATCTTGCTAAAAAAAAAAAAAAATTGGATTAACTCACTACCCTGCTTATAAACCTCCTATGGCCCATCACTGGCTGAAAGATAAAATCCAAATTAGCATTCAAGTACTTTCTCAATCTAGCCCCCAAAGAAAATGTCTAGATTCATTTCTGCCACCTATATATTTTGCTATCCTGAACTTTTTACTTTTCTTTGAACATTCCATGATCTTTCATTATTCATGCTGTTTCTTCTGCTTGAAATGCCTCCCCACTATCCCCTTCTCTGCTTAGAAAACATCTACTCATCAACTATCACTCCCTTTTGTGTTACTTTCTTCAGGGCTCTCAATGCATATTGTAAATATTGCTGTAATGATACCTACCCTATTACACTGTTATTCACCTCTTTGAATATTTGCCTTGCTTAAACCCTATAAGTCCTTTAAGGGAAGGGATGGTGACTCACTGTCACTGTATCCCTGAGGTGCTCCTTAGCATCACACAGAGCTTGGCACATAGCAGGGGCTCACTAATGCTATATGGAAAAATAAACTAGATAATAAAATATAGAAACTGCAGAGGCTGGGCATGGTGGCTCACGCCTGTAATCCCAGCACTCTGGGAGGCTGAGGCGGGAGGATAGCTTGAGGTCAGGAGTTCAAGACCAGCCTGAGCAAGAATGAGACCTGTCTTCACTAAAAATAGAAAAATTATCTGGGTGCAGTGGCACACACCTGTAGTCCCCGCTACTCAGGAGGCTGAGACAGGGGGATCACTTGAGCCCAGGACTTTGAGATTGTAGTCAGCTATGACACCACCACTGCACTCTAGCCGGGGTGACATAGCAAGACTCTGTCTCAAAAAAAAAAAAAAGAAAAAAGAGAAGAAAAGAAACGGCAGATATAGTATACCAGTATTTTATTATCAGAAGCCAGAGAGCCAGTTTTACTAAAAATTCATCCCATATTGGCACATGTTTGGAAAATCATATTTCTTGTATCTGTCAAATATCGAAGCTCTTTCTACCCTGGGTCAAGGCTACTACAATAAACTTGGCTAATAATCTTAAAAATCTTATACTATAATGTGTTAAAAATAAAACTGAATTAATCTAAACAATAAAAAAGTTAAAATTGGCTTGCAA